TAATAAAATATATAAATAAGAATTCATTAAAAAAGTTTACTTTAAAATTTAAATACAAAATTAATAGGTAAAAGCATAAAATAGCTTTATTATGTTATAATTTATATATATATTATTTGAAAAGTAAAATCAAGAAATTTATAAATTAAATTCATTTTAAAAAAAAAAATTACAAAATATAATTAAATTTCAAATATTATTAAAATCAAATATAATATATATATAAAAAAAAAAATTAAAAAAGAAAATATATTTAATTAAAAAATTAAATTTAGAAGTGCTATTCTTAATATATTTAGTTTTTTTACAAAAAAATAAGATAATTTAATTATTCTAATTTTTAATTTTTTATGTTCTCTTTAAAAAAGAATTTATGGTCAAAAAAATAACATAAAATATAAATAAATAATAAATAGATAATTATAAATTAAGAATTAAGTATAAAATAAAAAAAAAATGAATAATGAAATTGAAAACACTGATTCTACAAATTCAAGTTTAGAAAACAATATAGATTTAACTGAAAACAGATGTCGAATAATCATAATGAATTAATATTATAGAAAGAAAAATATTTAAATATAAATAAATTAAATTATTAATAATATAAATATAAGATTGAACAATAACTAATAAAATATAAATGATAATTAAAATATTTTCATTTAATAAAATAATAATAATATATAATATTAATAATAATAATAATAATAATAATAATAATAATAATAATATCAATTATAATCAAAGTTAATTAATTAATAATTAAATTAGTTTTCTATTTATTTTTTGTAAAGTTAAATAAATAATATTATATGTTTTATTTATAATATATCATATTTTAATTTATTTTTCGTTTGCAATTTATTTAATAATTAATTTTATTAAAATTTTTGAAGTTTTATTAAAGAAATAAAGCATTTAAGATCTATATTGGTATTTTACATTTTCGAGCTTTTTATTTCTAACTTTGAGAATTACATACATTTATTATTTTAAACATTATAAAATAAACATTGGTATATATATATTTATATATATTGAAGTTTTTTTGTAAATGAAGATATGAATTATAATTTCACATTTTAAAGAGAATAATAAAATAATTTTAATTAATATAATTTTTAATAATAAAATGATATTTTATATACCTATTAAAATCAAAGATATAGACGATAATAATATTTAATAACTTAAAACTTTTAGACAATATTTCTAAATAGAAATCGAAACCTTATAAATTATTCACAAAGAAATAATCATTAATAATTTATTTCTTAAATTAGAAATAATATTGCAAATAAAATTAGTTACAAAGGTTTGAATAGATATTAATTTAATTCTTTGTCAAAAGTTTATTTCAAAGATGTTAGCAATATTAGTAGTTCACAAAAGTAATGTGCTATTTGCCTAGAAAAATATTAAGATGAATCTTTTTTAATATATCTTCCTTGTAAGCATTACTATCATATAAAATGCATTAAATCATGGCTTATTAATGATAAAAAATGCCCATTATGTCGATAAAAAATTATAGTTTGATTTTTTGTGGTTATATTTTTATTTATTTTAAATAATTATTTATTAATATAAATATATATTTTTTTATTTATTTATAATTTTCTTTTATTATAAATATATATAAAAATATATTATCAATTATTTAATCTTTTAATAATTACTATTTTTATTTTATTTTTCAATCAATAAACTTGAAAATATTTTAATTTTTTCAAAATCCAATCTTTAAATATGAAATAATATATATAATATTAATATTGATTTTTTTTTTAAAAAAAAAAAATATTACTTCTTTACAGTAATTTAAACATTCAATAGTATCTTCAGATGCATCATGATTTTAAAGCACTTAAATAAGTTCTTAAAAAAAGAAAATATCTTATTATTTTAAATTTTTCTTTCCATAAAAATTACAAATATCGCAAACTAAACATAAACAATTTCTTAAATATACCTATTTTTTTTATTAAAATAAATAAATAACCTAAAACATTTTTATGTATTTAATATATATACAAAAGTAGGATGCAAATCTTATCTACAACTAAATTTAATAAACTCAATAATTTAAGGAATATATTATATATAATTTTTATCTTAGTTTTTATTGTTAGATAATCCATGTAAAATGCAAGTGTAGGAAATAATTAGTTTTTCATTAACATATTCCTATTACTCATTCACAAATCCTTCATTAAAATTAATTGTTTAAAAAAACTCATTAAATTCAATTTAAAATTGTATAATTATTCTATCCAAAAATTTTCTATATTTTTCTTTTCCAGCTAAAAATAAATCCCCTATAGTATTAAAAACTGTACATCTTAAATTTTTATCTAATAATTACTTTTCTAATAAAACTAATAAATCTTCCAAAACGAAAAACTTATCGAATTTTTCTTCTAAACATCGAGCCAAATCTCCTATTGAGCTAATACAAATATTTAAAAGATCTCTATCTTAGCTTTAAGAAGTTAATCCATGTGATAAATAAGTCCAGTAAGTATCTAAAAAAGGAATAAAATTTTTACCTAGACATTAACATAAACCGCTTATTATATAAATTCCACCACAATCTATTCCTTTTATAAGATTAAAATGTTAAATAATCAAACCAAAAATTTACTAAGAAAATCTTTAATCCAAATTTTCATTCAAAACCAATAAGCAAGACTAAAAAGATAATAAATTATATAGTTTTTAAAATATAGTTTTATAAAACTTAAATAGAAGATAATATTCCGTCTTATAAATGAATTTTATATTCTTTATCTTGTATAGAATATGTGTTTTCTAACATTTAGCAAAAAAGAAGAAGATATTTTTAAGAAATAAATATATTTCGAGAGTAAGTAATTAAATTTATAATGGTTACATAAATATTATCAACTAAACTTATAAATTCTATTTTTTTAAAGTCTTTGGTTCTTTAACCTATAAAAAAAATATGTATAAATATATATATATATATATATATATATATATATATATATATATAATTATTTAATTTTTTATATATTTTAATTTATACTTGTTTCAATTAAAATTTAAATTATTTAATCTATATGTTAATAAATACTTGAATTATTATATATAATTATATTTTCAGCTAAAAAACTTAACATTTAGCATATATTTATTGCTATTTCTAGGCTATCCTTTAACCCTCTACATATTACATTAAGTATATTTTCTAGATCTTCTCTTAAAAGTAAACATTATGGTTGAAACTCAGCTATTTTATTGAATAATTTTGCTGTTTCTTCCCTTATTACTTTATTTTAATCATTAAATTATTCTAAATAGAAGGGAAGGCTATTATTAATTGCTTTTGAAATTTCCTCTTCACTAATTCCTTATAGGACACATTCTAAAGCTAAAATAGCACTTTTTCTATAAATTAAATTTTCACTAGTAATTGTATTATTAATGAAACATTAAAATAATTAAAAACATGAATCTCCTACAATTTCGACAATACTGGAAAGAGCTTTTAATGCGCTTTCTTATATATTTTCGTTCGGGATTAATAAATCTGTCAAAAGTACTTAAATTAGATTTAAATGATAATTATTTAAACATATGAAATTTACATTATTCATATAATTTTTTGTTATTCTTAATTATTCTTTGCCATTATTATTTAATTTTTTTCTTTCGATATATTCAGTAGCTAAAGATGTCCATATTTCGATTGCTGGAGAAGCTAACTCTTCATTGGGATTAGTTAAAAAAGGTTCTATTATTTAAGAAAGGGGCTATATGTAAAATTCAAGAATTGTATATATTGTTTTAACATAATCTATTGTTATTTACAAAGCTTTTTTTTAAATTTCTATATTTTCGTGTTTTAAAGTTTCAAAAAGTTAGGTTGTACATAAATCTGATATTTATTTAGTTTTCAAAATTGTTTCTTACATAAAATCTAAAGAGTCCCCTAAAGCTGTTAAACTGTTTTTTTTTATTTCTAAATCGTTTTGATTTTACATTAAACCTAATAATATACCTGTTAGTATTTATTCTTTATCTTCATCTTTTATTATATTACCTTTTTTTTTTTTAATGATTTTTTTTTATTTATTTTTTACCTAGTTTATATAATTTGAATTTATCACATATTTATCCTAGTGTTAAAATTGCAGCTTTTCTTATTTATATATCAATTTGTTATTATGTACTATTTGAAAGGTCTGAAATTAGGTTTACCCATCTGTTTTCGGGAATTTCTATAGTACATATTTATGAAATAACCTATTTTTTTTATTATATATATGTTTTTTTTTTTTACATTTGCACATGTTTTTTATATTAATGGTTCTTTTGAAATCATATTTTATAAAAGAAAAATCTTAATTTATTCCCTCTATGTATTTTCTACTAGATTCCAAAGAAATTGATTTTATTCAGTCTTTTTATATATGTATATATTAAATATTATTTATTTAATTTTTTAGAAAAAAAAAACTTAAATTCTTATTGATGCCTATATTAATGTTCCTGAAAATTGTCTGAATAAAATGTCATTTTATTCATTATTAAATTATTGTAATAAATTAATGAAAAACTATGAGGGAAATTTCAAACAATATTAAATTAATTCTTATTCGGCGTTTTATCTTTCTTAATTGTTTTAAGAACTAAAACATAATTTTAATATTTAAAGCATTTCCATAATTTTTTTTTTTTTTTTTTTTGATACTTTATTTTATTCTTAATAAATTAAAAAAATTATTAAAAATAAAATAAAAAGCAAACTAAAAAATAGCTAATAATAAAAAGTATATTTAAAATTAGCAAATAAATGTATTTATTTATTAAATTATATTAAAGAATTATTAAAAAAAAAAAAGATTCTAAAATATTAAATTTAGATATAAAAAGATATATATATATATATATTATATATTATAAATTTTATTATTATTTTAATTTATTTTTTTTATATTTTTAATCTAAATTTATATATATAAAAAATAAACATTAAAATTCAAATAAATAACACACAAATCAAAAATGATTAAAAAACTTTTAAATTTTTTATTTTTATTTAACTTTATTTAAAGCCTTATCAGAAAGTCTTAATTTTTTATTAATTATTTTATCTTTTTTTTAATCATTTTCATCATCATTATCATTATCTTCTTCTTCAATATCACTAAATTCGCTATCATTTTCTTCTATATTCTTACCTCCTTTCTTACTTTTATTTTCCTCATCAATTACACTATTACTTTCATTTTCATCGCCACTAACATATCCTTCCCAAGTATTTTGTCCAATTTTCATTCTTTTATTAACAAATTGTTAAACATCATAAAATTTTATACTGTTATCATGTGAAATCGATGCTAGTATATTTTTACAATGCGACAACGCGATTTTCGTGATTGGGAAATTGTCATCTTCTTCATGTTCTCCTAATATTTATAATTGCTTGTTTGGAAAAACACTCACTCCTCTCACAAATCCGTCTTCCCCTCCTGTAATAAGCGTATTTTCATCCAATTTAATCATCGTATCAATTGATGCTGTATTCAATAATACCCTATCTTTAAAATCTCCGAACCAATCCCATTTAAATAATAAAATATTGCCTTCAGAAGATGAAGTAGCAACAAATTTGCCATCTTTAACTAAACATATGGAAGTTAAATCTTCCTCCATACAATCACTTAATGCATATAATTTATCTTTTGAACTATTTGCTTTACGAATATCATATACACTTAAAGATCCATCTAATCTGCATTTATATAATATATATATATATATGTGTATTTTTTTATGTAATATATATAATTTTTACGAAGTTGTTAATAAAAAATTAAAGTCTTAAGAAACTGTTACTCCTGTAATTGTTTCTGTTTATTCTTTACCTTCATATACGCATTAGGAACTTTTTAAATCCCAAATTTTTATAGTACCATTGTCATCTCCGCTTATTAATACATCATCATTTAGGAATTATACTAAGTTTATTGGCTCTCTATTTTATTTTTTTTAAGGTTTAATTTATTTTTTTTAGTTTTTTATTTTTTACTTATGAGCATTTTTTTAATGCAATACTATTTAGCCATTAGTATCTATTATTGCTATTGAATTATCTTTAGAACCTGATGATAATACTATTTTTATTTTATTTTATATTATTTTTATTTTTAATTATTTTTATTTTATTATTTTTATTTTACGTAAACCATTAGGAGAAAAATTGCATGAACGAGTAGATTATGTATGATGCTTTAAAATTAATACGTCTTTTACATCGTCAGAATTATATTCCATTCTTTTTTTTTTTTTTTGATTATTAATTTGTTTATTTTAAAAAATTTTTTACACTTTGACCCAACCATTTACCATTGAACATGATAAAAGATTTTTATTTGGATGAAAATTTAAACCAAAAATATGGTCTTCGGCAAAATATAAAGGAGGCTCTATTACTTAGTTATCCATTGGTATTGAATTTTTAATAATAGTGTTATTTTAAATATTAAAATTGTTAAATTTTATATATTAATATAAAATTATGTTTTAGTTTTTTTAATAAAAGATTAATTTTATATTATTTATAGTTAATATTTTTATTCTTTGTATTTATTTTTATAATTTATAAAACTAAAATAAATAAAAAAATTAATTCATATCTATTTTTTTAATAAATTTTATATTTTAATATATATATATATTTTTTTAAGAATTTTATTTTATTAATAATTCTTTATTTTTGAGAATAAAATTTTAAAATTAAAAGTAAACAATTATATATGTATTTTATTTATGTAATTTAATAAATTTTAATATATAAAATAAAAGAAAATTATTACTTTAAAATTAATATTTATTTTAAACATAAAATAATAGAAATTTTAATAAAAATAAAACTTAATTTTAAAATTATATGAAAATAATTTTAAAATAAAATAATTATATTTATATTTAATGCTAATGTTATTAACCAAATCCTTATTTTAGTTTTTAAAATAAAAAATTTATATCAAATAAAATTATTTTTTATTATTGAATAAAAAAAATATTATAATTCTTTCAATCTTAATGCCTCTTTATGTTTAAGGTATAGATATTTTGATTATTTTATTTTTATTTTTTTTAACTTATCATTGATCAGCAAAAACTTAGAGATTATTTTATTAACTTATATATATATACAAATATATAAATACATATATATATTTTTATATATTTTATATTAATATTTTTTAAACTAAAATTTATAGTCTTTTAAATTTATTTCGAAATTTTAAACATTTATAATAAAATAAATAAATTAAAAATGAATATTTCTTATACAAAAAATAGTTATTTGATTATTTTCTTTATAAATAAGAATAATTATTGATATATTATTTTTATAATAATTAATTATATTATATATTCAAAAATTTAAATATATTTTTATACTTATTTTATATTATAAAAATTGTAAAAACATTTTTTTTATATAAAATAAATAAAAAAAATATTCATAAAATAATACACTTAATTTATTTAAAAAAAAAAAATTATATTATTTTATTAAATAAAATACTAATTTATAGAAAAATTAAATTATTTATTATTTTACATTAGAAATAAAATTATTTATTAATCTTTATTTTCATAATTATATTTATTATTTAAAAAATATATAGATCTCCATATCTTTATAAATTGTATATTCTTATATTATTAATATTTATGCATAATAAATTATTTTAATAATATGGAAAATGTGACTAAAAGTTTTATAAAGTATTATCTATATGAAGTAAAAAGTAAAACGAAAAAAAGTAAAATAATAAACTAAATAAATATTACAAATTTGAATAAAATTATAAATAAATATAAAAGTATATAAAATATATTGCTTAAAAAATTTCTTGTTATAAATATCTTATAAATAAGAAAATATTATAAATATATAAATAATATGAAATATCATTCTTTAATTTAAATATAACATTATAAGATAAAAAATAATATAATTTTTTAAAACTAAAATAAAAAATAACTAAAAAGATTAAATAATTATTAATATAAATATATATTTTAATAATTTTTAAATAATAATATTAATAATTTATATATAAATAATTTTTATTATATGTAATGATACTTATTATAAATTTTTTTGTATTAATAATATTTAAATATTATATTATATTATTAAGATTATTTATTTTAATATTTATTTATGAAAATGTAAAAAAATATATATATTTTAATAAAACTCATATTTTTTTTATTGATTATTAATTTTCAAAATTCTTATTTAATATTATGTTTAATTTTTTTTATTTTTTCTTAATATTCTTCTATGTAGCTTTTGTTTGTATCATTTTAATTTTCTGATTTTTAATATATTTATTATCTTTTAATATTTTAAGAAAATACGTTTTTTCCAATATTAATACTTTATTTTGGTGAACTATTTTCACTGAATAAATTACTTTCATTATTAATTATAATTTTTAAATTTTTATTATTACCATTTGTAATATTTTAAATATTATTATTATTTTAATATTATTGATTTTATAATTATGTATATTTTTCATTTAAATATTATTATTATAATTGTTATCCTTATTATTTTTAATGAGGAATATATTATAATTATTATTAGCTCTAAAGAGCATACTATAAATAAACACCTTATTAAAATTAAATTGGGGTTGAATTTCCATATATTAAAGTATTCATATATTATTATGGATATAATGGTTATTATTATTGAAAATATTCATGATTTTATTACATATATTTAATTTATGAGAACGGTTATATAATTTTAACATCAGGTATATTTTTTGCATTTTAATAATATTATTGATATAAATTATTTTCATTATTTTTTTCGAAAATTTAATTTTACTATAATTAAAATTGATTATTATTATTTGTGTTATTAATTTATTAGTCGTTTATTTTTATAGTTTTTTCAATTTTTAAATTTATATCTTTTTCAGAATTTATATAATTACTTTAATTTTATTTATTTATAGTTTAATTATTTACATTTTATAAAAAATTAAATTAAAATTATTAATTATTATTTTCATTTATACTTTAATCTTTTTATATATTTAATTCTTAACTTTCTACATAGTTTGAGTTTTTAAAATCGTTTAGAATTCCTTGAATTAGAACATTATTTTCCTAATAATTTTTCTTGATTTTTTCTACTTCGAATTTTCTATATTCTTAATTTATATCAATGTCTATCTTAGGATGAAATCTAAAATATTTTCTTTTATTTCCATTTGATTCCATTTTATTTCTTTCTTAATTTTTTTTTAAGTGCATTTTAGGAGCTTCGATTTTTAAAATATTCAAAATATGTTATAGAAATTCTTTTGAAATGAAGTTTTCATGAAATTATTCTAAATTATTTAAACTTAATGAAAATGATACATAAAAATGTTCCCCTCCTTTGTCTTTATTATCTTTTTCTGTTATTATAATAAAAAAATATTTTATTAAATTTTTAAATAATTATTTTTAAAATAATAAATTATAATATATATAATAAAATTTATTTTAATTTAGTTATTTGTTTACCATACAAATTTTTATATAATATAAAATTTACAATATTTTAATTCTCTAGTTTCAGAATTCCATTATATAAAATTTATAAATTCCTTTCTTTTAGATTAGTCTTTTAATTGTTTAAACAATTCGCTTATTTTAATAATATTTTTTTATATTTATTCGACTAGAAATCCCTCACTTTTAATTGAGTTATAAATTGGTTATTTTGTAATTTCTTCTTAATCTAATTTTTAATTTTTAATAATTTAATTGAAAACATCAAATAGTTTTGATAAAGATTATTATTCATCAATAATTTTTTTGTAATGTTTTTTTAATTATATCAATTTTAAATCATTTAATTATTTTTTGCATTTTTTTAAATTTAGCAACTAAGAATTAAACTTTTCTATACTATTTTATCCGCAAGAAAATCTTAAAAAATCTATAATATTTTGTTAAATTTCTTTTAATTATAAACTATTTTGATCGTAAAAATCTTTAAAGTATTTTTAAGCTTAGTCCCTTTATTCAAAATATATGATCAATTTTTGTTTAAATAAACTAAAATTATTACTGATTTAAGTCGCTAAGTTTTATATATTTTATTAAACTTAAAAACTATCATCGAATTTCTCATTTACTTAGTTATTTATATCGGCAATAAAGTCACTTAAATTTATTACTTGTTCTTGGTGCTTCTTATGAGAGTCATCAGAACAAGAAGTACAAGCTAATTGATAGCCAAATTGACATTCATCATTTGTGCAGAGAAATAATAAAGGTTTATTGTGCAATTTACATGTAAAACATTGACTTTTTATTGGTAAAATTGTTTCTAATGAAATATTCATCAAAAGTTATTTTTTTTATTATGATTATGGTTATTACAATTAATTTTAAATGTTTAATATAATATAAAAAAATTCGTATTTACAAATATATACAGATAAATAATTATTTTCTACTTTTGTAATAATATTTGCATTTGAAATTAAAAACAATTTTATTTTTTTTTAAAAAATAAAATAAATTTAAATTTAAATTAATCTTTATTATTATTATTTATATTATTTTATATAATATTTTATATTTTTTAAAAAAATATATCAATGTATTATTAATTTTATTTAAGAATGGAGAAAAAAGTTAATAAATTAAAAAAATAAGAAAATAAAAAAATAAAAATAAAAATAATAAAAGAAATGAATACATATATTGTAATAAAAATTTTTGAATAAAAATAAATTATATTATTATATATTACTAAAAAAATTAAATTTATGTGTTTAAAAATATTAAAAATAAAATTTATATTTCAGGACAAATATAAAAATGATAAAAAGTTATAACGTAAAAATATAAATAATTAATATAAATAATTTTATTATATTAAGCATTAAATATAATAAATTAATGATAAATATTATAAAAAAAAAATATATAATATTATTATTAATAAATTAATAATTGTTTAATATATAAATTATTTAATACATATATTTTAATAAAAAATTTAATTTAAATGTATTTTTAATATAAAAAAAATCTATTTAAATTATGACAATTATAAATTAAAAATCTAATAAATATAAATAAATATATATTAAAAAAAATATTAATAAATATAAAATTATATAAATTTGTTTAAAAAAAATTTTTTAAATATATAACTTAATATTTATATTAATAATAAAATTAAATTATAAAATTTTTGATAGACTATTTAAAATAATTTTATATATTTAAAA